TTAAATTTTATTATATAATTTTATAATTATTGGTTAGTATAGATTATTTTTAACAATTACACGTATTTTTAAAGATCTGAATAGCTATTATAATATGATTTTGTTGCCAAGCTTTTGAATCTTTCTATACTTGGTTTTTGATTGGTTATTCTAGCTTTTGTAACAATGTTTCTCAGTGTAGGATCGTTAATTAATCTGAAACTTTTAAACCATTTATTTTATCTTCAACATCATCACTTGATAAGACACTTGAGTGTGTTGAAACAAAATGGCTATTTTTGTAGTGATTTTATAACATACTTATGTTATAATTTTTTATAAATAATAATTATATCTGCTCTACTTTGTATTGAGCACTCTTTTAAGAATAGTAATTGTTGGTTATTGGAATTCATTCCGTATACCAATTATATACTTGTATATATACACATATATATATATATACTTTTTTGAATATAGACTCTTTTAGCGCTAGAGGGCGTCGTCAGTGATGCTCTTGAGATAGATCATCGGCCAGTTTCGGGTCTTTCAAACATCATACTGACCTCACCAAATCGACCCTCTCAGAGCTGATCAGACCCTGAAACGCCCTCTAAAAAATGCTTGTAGACACTGACTTCTATAAATATACCCCGTTATCACACATTTGATTGGAGATTGACCAACAGCCAATCGCAAAATCTATTTAAGCCGTTTACGGGTGATGTTTTTTCTTTTTTCATTTTTTTCAGTGGACACCCCCTTCATCGGATACTTAGAAGGTAATTATGTTTTCTGTTTTTACCCACTTCCTATCAAGTTTCATTTCACCAGCTAATAATTACTATTTACATAGATAAAAAAAAAAATACGGCCATTAAAATTAATAAATAGTTACAGCGAGTTAAGCCGGTGGTGCTTAATGAAACATTAAAACTGTTTACGAATAAAAATAAAATAAATAAATTACAGCGAGTTAAAACTGAGAGATCTTATAAATTACATAATAGAACATTTAAAACATTATGACGAATAAAATAAGTAAAATAAAATAACTAAACAATTAATAATTTACAGCGAGTTAAACCGGGAGGGCTTAAAAATATCATAATAAAACGTTTAAAACATATTAACGAATAAAAACTAATAATCTCGTTTATGCGATTAAAATGAATAAATACAACGAATTAAACCGAGAATGCTAATAAATATCTTGTGTATTATTTACAATGGCTGACAAATAATCCGTGTAAAAAATAAAATGAAAATAAAATAGTAACGTCTGTTTTCGATTGTACGTATTTATAAACTGATTACGCCGTACGGCATTTCTAGATAGTTAAAAGTTGTGGCATATCTTTACACTATTTACATTTATACAATGATGTATAAGAGAAAAAAAAATTACACTTTTTAAACTTTTTATATTAATTTAGGTTTTCCCTCAGTTTACCTGATCACACTTGCACGTTTTAGCCATAGCCATTTAACTGTTCTTTCTGCCTCTCGGTAATGGTTTAGATAGCTTTTCGTTTTTTTTGTTCCTAACTATCCCAATGTCTGTTAAGGCGCTAACTATGATTTTGCCACAAAAACCCCATGTGCCTACTTCGATTGGTTTGCAGCTTGCCTTCCATCCATTATTCCTTGCCAACTTCCAATAATTCATCGTATTTTAGTTTTTTCTTTCACTGGCCTTCTGCGTTATCCCTATATAAAGACTGTTAGTTCCTACATGATGACTTTTTTAGTTTATTTGAAAAAAGGACTAGGTCTGGACGCAAACGGGTCTTGAAAATGTGATCTTGAAGTTTAGCCTTCTACCTAAGTCCACTCTGAGTTCCCAGTCTGTTGCACAAGATAAAACACACAGTTGGGTGCGGTCTTTTTGGGTTCGGTTTCGCGCCAGCTTTTGTGTAATAAAATTTATAAAATTCATATTTGAATTCGGTTTGTTTGTATGGATGGCTGTGCTAACGACTTCCGCAATTTCTTTTTAGTATTTGATCATGACGCCATCTATACCCACCGTCTGCAAGGGCTGATTTGCAGTTGCTTAGTATGTGTTTTAAAGAACCTATTTGGCCGTATAGGGGCATGAGGGCGATTCTGATTTGGTCCATAATTAGCAGGTTAACGGGGCTTGTAGAAGGTCATAAACAGATCGAATCAAAAAGTTCATGCCTAATTCGTTACGCCAGACCTGGCTATCCAATTTTCCTAGGTATCATTGACTCCCATTTTGTCCATGAACCTTGTTGCTTAAACCCGAACATCTTTGCTACCCTCATTTCCTCTTCCCTGTGCGAATTTCGTCCAGTAAGAGTTGGTGCTTTTTCTTACCTACGGCTTTGTCAATTCTAACAGTAGGAAAGAAACCCAGCCCTGCCCGACCCGGGTGGCGACAGTGCCCAGCACCACTTTTTTCGCGAAGACGCTCTTCTGCCACTTTCAACTCCTTTACAGCGTTCCATTTCCTCCCCCAGTATAGACCTCAATATTTGCTCCTGCCACATTTGGG